ATATCTTATTTTTTTTCCCTTTTAATTTTGATCTGTTGCTTCTTATCTAACCTTTTATTGTAAAGCACTTTGGATCAACAATGGTTGTGTTGAAGTTGTGCTCTATAAATAAATTGACTTGACTTGACTATCAAATAGCACACATAGGTTCCTAACTGATGATGAAGAATTGACAGAGCAGCCATTAAGTGTTAGACCATGTTCTAGGTTATTATATGTGGAGGTTTTTGGTCCTATATTTAACACCTCTGTTTTTTTTAGAATTTACATTTAGTCATTTAGCAGACGCTTTTATCCAAAGCGACTTATAAATGGAAGCAATCAAAATCAACAAAAGAGCAATGATAAGCAAGTGCTATAACAAGTCTCAGTTAGCTTAACGTAGTACACGTAGCAAGGGTTTTAATTATATAATAAAACGGATAGAATAGAAAAAGTATAGAGCAAGCTAGTGTTAGAATTTAACAGTAAGAAATTATTAGTCCTCCAGATTAACAAGAAAGTTTTGAATTCTGAAACTGACAGAATGTTTTTATGGCACAAAGACCTCCTATTTATCAAAAGATCAAGGGAATTTTGATTTCTCAGTTAATGACCCCTTTAAAGTGAAATTATCATTAGCTGCCACAGTTCTGCAACAGGGCTATTTTCGGTTTAGCTGGACCGATAATCAATTTCTCAGATGTGAAATGTTTTTGTTTAACTAGGTTGTATAAATGTCTTTTAAATATCTGACTTGTCAATGTTTAGGATGGAGATGAACCTGAAAAACCTGAGTCCCCGGCTCAGGACTCCAAGCCTGCTAACGTCAAATCCTCTTCTGAAGCTTCCCCAAAACAATCCCTTAAAACTGATGTGAGCTATTTATGCATGTAATTGTTATATATCATGCATGCATGCACGCACGCGCTCATGCATTCACTACTGCTCAAAAGTTTGGGATCAGTAAGACTTGTAATGTTTTTTAAAGAAGTCTCTTACGCTCATCAAGGCTGCATTTATTTTTATCAAAACAGTAATCTTGCAAAATGTTATTACAATATAAAATAATGGTGTCTATTTTAATTTACTTTAAAATATAATTAATTTCTGTGATGCAAAGCTGAATTTCCATCAGCCATTACTCCAGTCTAAAGTGTCACATGATTCTTCAGAAATCATTCTAATATGCTGATTTATTATCAGTGCTGGAAACTGTTGTGCTGATTAATATTTTTTTGGAACCTGTGATACTTTTTTCAGGATTCTTTGATGAATAAAAAGTTAAAAAGAGCATTTATTTAAAATGGAAATCTTTTTAGTCAATGTGCTCCCTCTCTCCCCCTCTTACAGAATTCTCTCTCTCTCTCTCTCTCTCGATTCAATTCAGATGAGCTTTATTGGCATGACTGTGGAACAGCACAATGTTGCCAAAGCAATAAACAGCGAACAAGTTATACAGGCATATAGATAGATAAAAAAAAACGTATTCATGACCATATTGTACATATATTATCACATAAAACAAAAAAAACATAGCAAATACAAGGTAATTATTTACAGAGAGCATTGATAAAGAAAAGGGGGTTTAGCCTTTGTCCCTCATAATATGGCAGGAGGGGATACATACTGCGCTGCTAGGTGGATACACTTTTCTTTCTCTCCCAAAATATAACGGAGTTTGTCTATGTGGCTCGCTTGCTGGAATTCAGGCACAATTTGGGCTATAATTCGGGCACAATGGATGTATTCTTCCTGGGTGATTTTTGATAGTTTGATAGTTCATGGGGTCATTCTTTGGGTGTCCTGTCCTGTAAGTAAGAGTGCATTGGTAAAGAAAAGGGGGTTTAGCCTTTGTCCCTCATAATATGGCAGGAGGATACATACTGCGCTGCCAGGTGGATACACTTTTCATTCTCTCCCAAAATATAACAGAGTTTGTCTATGTGGCTCGCCTGCTGGAATTCAGGCACAATTTGAGCTATTTGTGTAAAATAAGTGTCTCTGATGTGTTTATATTTGCTGCAGTGTGTGAGGAAGTGCAGCTCGTCCTCTACGAGTCCCTCTGTGCAGTGAGAACACAGTCGGAGCTCTCTCTCTCTCCAGCTCTGTTTGTGTCGGCCCGTCTCCACACTCAGATTGTGCTCACTCAGACGATACTTCGTCAGAAGCTTTCTCTGACTATAGTCTTTCATTTTGATCAAGTAAGGTGCCAATTGATAACCAGTCTTTAATCTGTAGAAGTACTTTAGTTTGTTCATTTGTGCTACTTTGATCTGCCAATCATGGATGTATTCTTCCTGGGTTATTTTTCCAATTTCTTTAATTTTTGCGTGTCTTAACTGAATTGTTGAACTGAGTTGGTGTTTTTCCACTAAATAGTTCATGGGGTCATTCTTTGGGTGTCCTGTCCTGTAAGTAAGAGTGCAGTGATGGTAATCGTGTGTCTGATAGATGGAACCAGAACTTCGCTGTTCTCTTCTGGATTTCTGCTAGAAGGGGGAATCTGCCCAATTCTGCCCTGCAGCCGAGACTAGGGGCGTTTCTGTGGAGTCCCAGGATGTTCTTGCAGAACTCGAGGTGGAACATTTCAGTGGGGTTTTTATCCCAAGATGTATGGTTTAATTTAAATTTGGGGCCCCAGATTTCACAACCGTATAGAAGAATGGGTTTGATGATGCTGTCAAAGATTTTTAGCCATAATTTAATAGGTGGGTTGAATTTGAACAAAGATTTTCTTATAGTGTAATAAGCCCTACGTGCCTTATCGGTCAGATGTTTTATTGCCAGATCAGATTGACCAGAAGCTGAGATGGTGAGACCCAAATAATTATAACATGTGACATGATTAAGAAGTGTTCTCCCAATTGTAAAACTATATTTTTTGTTAGTAAGGCAAGGCTTTTTCTGGAAGATCATAATTTTGGATTTCTCCATGTTTACTGGTAAGGCCCAGTCTCAACTGTAATTTTCTATAATTGAGAGGCTTTCGTGTAGCCCTTCTTCATGAGGTGACGAGCAGAAGATCGTCAGCCCCGCCTTTCTGAAATGCATCAATTTTTACAAAGCTCATCGGCTTGATAAGTGAGGTGTGCTCTGATTGGCCAGCTATCCAGTGCGTTGTGATTGGCTGAATACCTCAAGCGTGTGACGGAAATGTTATGCTCCTTACCATATTGTGATACCATGTCCTGGCGTGACGAGACAAAAACATTAAAACCCGTGTGTATATATATATATATTTTTTTTTTTTTTCAAGCTGTATTTTGGCCATATGTTGTTTCTTGGCATTTGTCATATGACAATTGACAACTAACCCATGTGCACTTACAACTGTTTCTCCCTGTGTAGTCACCTCCCCCCTCAGCTTCCAATCCCTTAGAATGATTTCTGTGACTTGGAAGGAATCATGTGACCCCACCCCCCCGGCGAGAGGTGAGACTTCCTGAGCTAAAGTGATGTGTTTTGAAGGTGGTAAATAGTTTTGGCCTTCAAACTACAACTGCTGCTGAAATGCATAAGATGTTGTCAGCTTGACCACACACTAAACTAACTTCTGAAAGGCTTAATTTTGGATTTTGCACCCACAAATGAAAATTTGCTGTTAATTTTCATCTTCAGGTCATCCAAGATCTAACTTCAGTAGAACATTAAAGATTTTTAGCTGAAACTATGGTCATTGGTGATTCATAAAATGCAAGTCAATGGCTACTGTCACTTTGAGAGTAAAAAATTATTGACAGAAAATTCAGACGTCTGCGTTCATGATTGACCTCTCAAAATGTAAAAGTAGCATATGCAAAAGTTTGTGTCCATTAATCCTTGCACTCTTGTATCAAACCTTGTTGAAAAACTGGTCAACATTTTTTGTACAATGTGCATGTATAATTAAAAAAAAAAAATGTCAGAACAAAAGCATGTTTTATTTAATCCTATAAATAAGTTAAATTTGTCAAAAAAAAATTACGCTTAGCTCACACCTTAAAATGTGGCATATTGCACAACAGAATTCAACACGAGTATAGTTTTTTTTTTTTCACTAAAACAGCACACCTCATTTTTTATTTAAGCGGGGTTTTACACAAACATAATTCTAGTGAATAAAAATGCATGTTTAAAGGTTTGATACTGTACTCAAAACTGATTTGTAAGAAAACTGGAGATTTTGTTTAAAATAACTAGTCTTTGTAATGCGTGTTACACATTTTATCCTTTGAAAGCATTTGACACCGTTACTAATCCTTTTAAGTGGAAGAAATTAAAAGCATAGTCTGCTATAGTTGTATGCAAAAGCATAACTGGCTTTGTGGCTTATGGAAACCTATGAGCATTTTGAAGTGCGGGATTCCAAAAGTCTGTTGCTCTTTTTTGCTCTTTTTTTTTTTTTTTTTTTTTTTTTTTTTTTTTTTTTTTTCAAAAAACTCAAACTTATTCTCTCTTCCAAAGTGCTTCATCCTTCAAAACATCCTTCATAATACCTAATATCCAAATACCGTACCCTCTTCTGTATGGTGACGCATTGCTGCCACACTTTTTTTCCCCCACTCAATTGTCATAATAACGAGATATGTGTTTTAAGGACATCTTTTCTCGTAATAACCAGATGTTTTCTAGTTAAAACGACATCTTTTCTCATAAAAACGAGATGTTATGTCGTTAATACGACATAATTATTTCGTTAAAACAACATCTTTTCTTGTAATAACGAGATGTAAAAACGATATAATCTCGTTAAAACGACATATTTTTTATCGTCATAAAGACGATGTTTTCCCGTTATAGATATATGGTAGGCCTACATTATGTGAGCGAGCTAAGCTACTGTCCGTGCTGCTGTCGCCACAGTCTGACATAAACTAGGATCTGCACGCTGCTGAAATTATTGAAATACACTATTTTAAATGTATTTTAATGTAATGGTTTTAATTGTAGCGGCATGTTTATTAGGATTAATCTCCAATCTGTCTACAATATAGTGCTATCCAATAACTGCACTCAGACATGACTCGTTTAGGCTATGATCAGATCAAAACAGTTATTTTTTTAATCGAAATACGAAAAAAAAGAAATTAAGAGATTTTCTAATAGGCTAATAATAATAGCCTAATAGTAAATATTATTATTATTATTTTGTGCTGTTTGGCAAACAAAAATTAAGCTAGATTTTTTGTTCGTGGGTTAAAAAATGAGCTTGATATTTGTGCGTGGGCGGCCCTAAAAACGCCACTTTTTCCTCTCAGCCTGTCTTTACTGTATCCCATCACACAGAATAAGAGTTCATCTCATGTACCGCTCTGTAAATTAGTCACAATAACGTTTCTTCAAACTGTCTGGCTGTTGTATAGGCTATATTTCTTGCAAATATACATCTCATATTTTGTAAAATAACAGGGTGCGCTTTCTGGCACACCTTGTTATGTCTAAAGGTCTACTTAAATAAAACAATCGAAAACAAAATTGTGTTTATTTAATTCGTATAGCCTAAATCCAACAAGAGGTACTGTACAGTCTTTCCCGTCTGAGCTCATCTGTATTTTGTGCTCACACCCAGGCGCAGCGCAGCCTATTGCTTCAGTATAAAGCAAAGCCTGGAATTTTACCCAGAAGAAGAACGCGATGCGAAGCGCGGCTTGATTCAAATAAATGGTTATTTTTGAATAAACGACTCTGGGCTTAATATTTCTTTATTTGAATGACTGATGTTTGATTTAACAACAAATCGAAATACGAACAAAAAGAAATAAAGAGAATTATTATTATTATTATTAGCCTATTAGAAAATCTCTTTATTTCTTTTTTTGATCTGATCATAGCCTAAACGAGTCATGGGTCTGAGTGCAGTTATTGGATAGCACTATATTGTAGACAGATTGGAGATTAATCCTAATAAACATGCCGCTACAATTAAAACCATTACGTTAAAATACATTTAAAACAGTGTATTTCAATCATTTCAGCAGCGTGCAGATCCTAGTTTATGTCAGACTGTGGCGACAGCAGCACGGACAGTAGGCTAGCTTAGCTCGCTCACATATATATCTATAATAACGGAAAACATATCGTTTTTATGACATATGTCATTATTACGAGAAAAAAATGTCGTTTTAACAAGAAAAGATGTCGTTTTAACGAGATAATTATGTCGTTTTAACGAGATAATTATGTCGTATTAACGAGAAAAGATGTCGTTAAAATGACATAACATCTCGTTATTACGACATAATTGAGTGGAAAAAATATGTGTGTGGCAGCAATGCGTCACCGTACTTCTGAGTAGTAATGTTTTGTTTTTGGTATCCATCCCATTTTTCTCTCCTAGCCTCAAGAACGGCCAGTTGTGGTCATTCTGGCCCCCCTTTCACCATCTCTCTTGCTCTCAAGCCTCAGTTCTCTGTCCCATCAGAACCTAGGTAGTCCAGTTCTGTACTGTGCTTCCCCTGATCCATGTCCAGGTCCATGTCCATCATGTTTTGTGGATGACGGTGGAAGGTGGCTGAGATCTGGTCAAAAGTTTTGCCTCGCGTTTCAGGAACTCGGAAGAACGTGAAGACCAGAAAGAAAAGGAGGAGCAAAGCGAAGATGAGAAAAACGTATGGACCACACAGGTTCTGCGGTAAGGAGAGATTGAATGTAATGGATTTATAGTACGTTTTGATGCCATAAGTAGGTAAGTAAACCATTGCTAGCGAAAAAAGTTGTTTCCTGTACACTTACAGCAACAGACTGGAAGCCCATGCCAATGAGGAAGTTGGCAGTCCAGTTGGAGCAGCCTGCTACTGCCATGGCTGCTGGTCTGGGACCTTGTGAGAAGAGTTCAGCCACAAAGAACCAAGGGATAGGTCCTGGCCCCACTTCAAAGAAGCCAACAAAACCAAAAATGGCCATCATGCTAAGGTAGCTCATTGATGGCACAGTCTCCTGTGAACAAAGACAACACAAGTAAGATTAACTCAGACAGCATTCACTGACAACCAGCTTCTGCATTATAATTTCTCAAGTAGTCTGTAGTGTAGAAACTGATTTTCTCTTATTTTATTATGTGTATTTTTTCAGTAACTATAACATCAAAAAAATCGTAAATTATTGTGGGACTGACCAGTAATGTGAGGGCAATTGTCATGATGATGGCACAGATACACATTCCAGCAAGTCCAAGCATGTGGAGTGTCCGGCGGCCCATACGCTCAACCAGGAAAAGCTGTTGATTGGACGAGTCATAGACATAAAGTTTGTAGTTTGACTTGGTTTATGCTAATAATGTAGTTTAAATGGTTTGATTTTTAATTAATTATTTACAATATTTGAAATTCTTGCAAATATTAAGACAAAAAAAAAACTTTTTTGCAATGCTACATTTAAGCCAAAAAAAAAAGTGTTTACTTTTTAAATAGTTTTTATTGAATTTGATTATCTTCTCATGACTGCTCTGCCCACGCTTTTGAAAAAGCACTGAGATCTGCTCAACAGTATCTGTTCTATTTTGATCTACAAATGTTATGGGAAACTCTTAAGTCTCAATTAAGGCTAATTTGCCATATCTTGTTAGTTCCTCTTTAAAGATTCATGAGATTTTTTTTTTTTACGTACCGAGACTATAGTAAAAGCACAGTTGACAGCTCCAGCACCTATGGTGGCATACACTGGACTTTCCACCCCAGCCTTTTTGAAGATATCAGTTGAATAATAGAAGATCTGAGCAGTGGAAAGCAAGAGCAAGTGTGAGGAAAAAATAAAAATAAAATGGTTCATTACTAAGGCATGCAGAAAATAACTTGCAAGGACTCCATTGTAATCTCTGATGTGAAACCCAGATCATATATTTCAGTTTACCATTCTGAGAATATTCTTACTGCCATAAACTAAAAATGTATTAAAAGTTCCCCATATCACCATAAATGATTACAAGGTTCATGTTAAATATACTCTGACAGTTACACACACACACACACATATGTAAATATATATATATATACATATACACATACATATATATATATATATACACACACACACACATATATATATATATATATATACAGTGCTTTGCGAAAGTATTCATACCCCTTCATTTTTTTTTTCCATTTTTTTGTTGTTGCTGCCTTATGATAAACTTCTTTAAATTACTTTTTTTTCCACATCAATCTACACTCCATACACCATACTGACAAAGCAAAAACAGAATTGTCACAACTTTGTAAATGTATTAAAAATAAAAAAATGAAATAAGTACATTGCATAAGTATTCAACTAACTAAATATTTGTTGGACACAATTACTGGTACCCCTAGAAATTCTTATGAGTAAAATATATCTGAAATGAATTCCCATTCATATTCACAATTTTGAGCACACCATTATGATTATGACCTGATGTGCAGCAAAAGATAATTGAGCTTCACAAATTAGAAAGTGGCTTTAAGAAAAGAGCTAGAGCAGTGAAAATCCCCATTTCCACCATCAGGGCAATGATTAAGAAGTTCCAATCAACAGAAAATTTTTTGAATCTGCCTGGAAGAGAACATGTGTCTATATCGTCCTAATGCACGGTGAGAGGGAGAGTTTGAGTGGCCAAAGACTCTTTAAGGATTATAGCTGGAGAATTGCAGAAAAAGGTTGAGTTTCGGGGTCAGAAAACCTTTAAAAAAAAAATTATCAAACAGCACCTACATCACCACATGTTA